GGGTGGGTGTGTGGGAGCGGCCGTTGGCTGAGGTGGCTGCGGGGATCGGAGCGGGTGGAAGAACAGGGGGTCGGTGCTGGTTAAAGGGATCGGGGCGGGTTAAAGGGGTCGGGACCGGGCTCGGGGCGGGCTGAAGGGGTCGGTGCAGGAGGAAGGAGCGGTGGTCGGGGCGGGTTAAGGGGCCGGAGGAAGGAGCGGGGTCGGTGCCGCTGTCGGCGCCGTTTAACCGCCCGTGTGTCCCAGCCCCCCTAAAGCCGGGCTTTAAGCAGGGCTTAAACGTCCTCAGAGAGGTTCAATAGCGAGACTTGAGTGTGCCTCCCCTCTCAGCAGGGAAGGGTTTAATCCACGTTTCAAACAGAGATCTTCACCTCCCTGCCTGGAGATTCGAGAGTTTGTTTGCTCTTCAGTCTCCTAAAGACAGGTTCTGAGCAGTGCAGCTCATCCGGATCCGTGTGCGTGTTTAATTAAAAACTTAGCCACAGGCTGGCTCTGAACTCTTCTCGATGCCGGCACTACTTTGAACACCGGAGTTCTTCAATTGGAACTTTGCCGACGCGTGTGTCAGAGCACCCATGGCAAACTGTGCTCGTTTCCCCAGGGAACGCCGGTGCTTTACCTCAGCACATTGGGTTTTGTTCTTATTCCCTGTGAGGAATTAGGTTATCCGGGTTATCCGGAGAAATTGTGGCTGCCACATCCCTGGAATTGTTCAGGGTTGGAGCAGCCCGGGCTGGTGGAAGCTGTCCCTGCCCATGGCAAGGGGTGGAACAGGATCATCTTTAAAGTCCTTTCCAACCCAAACCATTCTGTGATTCCTTTTCCATACCGTGGGCACAGTGGTGCCTCTTGTCTGTGTATTCAAGTCTGATCCCAGTTTATTCCCTGTGGGAATCTTCATTTGCTGCTGGAATCTAAATGTAAGTAGTGAGTGATGTAAATGCTTCTCCCCTCAGCCAGAACTACTGAGTTACCTGGTCTGGCCCCATTTCATGTCTTTGGTCAGAAACTGTAATTTGTAGTGGATGAAAATAGGATCAGAGCACTCTGAGGAGCCTAGATAATTATTTTAAATCTTTGAAAAAACTCTCAGGAATTTAATTAGATAAGGGGTGGGTGAGGAAGGGAACAGCAGGCCCTGTGATGTGGTTTGTTGTCTGCATCTCCTGGTTACTGGCAGCTCTGGCTGGGGCTGCTTAAAGGAGAATCTCCTGCTGAGCTCCTGCACATTCCAGGAGAATTCCCAAAGCTGTGCCACACAGATTAGCACTCTTGGTCTCTAGGAATATTCCTGCTGTTATAACAACTCGTGAGTTCTATGCAGGAAACTTCCTTATGCAGATCCTCTGCATGAAATTAAAGTAATAATAGAATTTAGGTCTTGTTTGAAATAAAAATTGCTTATTTATTAATTTATTCCTTGTTATTGTAGCCACTGGTGTAGGGAAAAAAGGATTGTAGGAGGTAGAGGCAAAGAGTGTGTGTGAAAGATGAGCTGGAAATTGAGACTCATTTTCTCAGCACTGTCCTCATCAGTCTGTTTTGCATCTAGTGAAGGAAATGAGCTGATTACCTCAGATAAGATTAGCTTCCAAAATAGTGTCATAATAGGCTCCAGCTGCCTCATAAGGAGAGAGTTTGATGCTGAACTGGAAATAGTGCCTGGGTTGGAGCCCCTGTGTGAGCAGCTGTCCCAGGGAAGCAGCAGTCACTCACCCAAAGGTGCTGGGATCCATCCCTGAAACCCTGCCCAGGTGCAGGAGTTGTGTTTTTCCTGCCAACTGCACGCTCTGGATTTAATTCTCTTCAGTTTATTGTGCCAGGTGTTCTCTCCAGAGGGAACCTGCAGCCTTACATAACTTCCTGAGTGGGGAAAAAAAAATAAATCTGATATTTCCACCTAATATCTAATAGAAAAGAAACACATCTTAATACAAAGTACAGTTTATAAAAGTAGTAAGTACTTAAGGTTCTAGGACTGATTTTTCATGCCCTGAAGAAAGCAGTAAAGTTACACTTGCATGTTTAATGTCAGGTGAGGGTCAGGTTAATACATATCTGACAAAATTCTGTTACTGCAGAGTGCTAGAACAATAAATGTATAAATTGTTTGTCTCCATGCAGAATTTAATTTTAAAAATAATTTAGTATTTAACATGGGAAGGGCACAGATTTGGTGTGCAAAACCCTATGAACCCATCACTTTCTCCTCATCACTTTTATGCTGTAACAGAGATCACGTCCTTCTCATCAAAAGTCCCTTAAAAAAAATAGAAGGTCCTATTTTAAGTCAATAATTGTTAAATTAGAGTGTCCTACACCTGCTGCCATCCCATTAAATCTGTGCTTGGAGCAAGGATCTTAAAACCCTGCAGGTCCCCTGCAGAGGCTTTGCCTTGTTCAGTACAGCTCTGTTTGTCAGGGTGGGCTCCTCTTGAATTCTGGTTTGAGTTTCTGGAACCATCAAGGTTTAATTCCTTGGAAACATTGTTTTCTAAATGGATTTTTTGTTCCCTTCCCATTGGTTTTTACCCTACCCCAGATCATACCAATATTGGGGTGTTTCTTTTGAGGCTTGGCAGCATTCATTCTTTTTATTAATTACTCCCTAAAATTGGGAATTTGGAACCTTTCTTTCTGTTCCTGAGGCTGTCATTCCCCAGTTTGTATCTGATTTCCCTGTCCTTGGTACTAAGGAGCTTTTTGTGTCTGGTAACCAATCCTCTCTGGGGTTTGGGATCTGCTGGAATTGTGAACATCCCGAGGTGGTGCCGGTGTGATTCCCTGTCCTTGGCTCATGCCAGGACTTTTTCCATCTGTTCCTCATCCTGCAGTGAGGATCCAGACCCCAGGGCTGGAGCCAAAGTGGGGAGCAGGGCAGGGGCTGCTCCATGGCATCACTAAAATATTTCAAAAATCTCTTTTGGGCCGAGTTTAAGTCTGGGCGTAGCTTAGAGGGATATTTTTGTGTTAAAAAAAAGTTATTCCAAAATGAATCCAACTTCATGTTTGTCTTTTTTCACTTGGAAGGGAAAAAAATAAACATTAAGTGTGATTTGGCACGAGATCAAAGTAGCCACGTGATGTGGGAAGTGCTTTTTGTGGGCTGGAGATAAGGGGTGGGGAGCAGAAAAGCTGGGCAGGAGATAACTGGGCAGGGAAAAGGCAGGAACAACCTGAAGCTTCTCCTCCTGAAATGTCCTGGGAAAGGCTCTGGTGTCCTGGAGCATGTGGGGAATGCCAGGAATTGAGAGGAAGGAGAATAAAGTGTATTAAACCTAAATAAACGTAGCTGGGAAGTGAGTGTTCATGGTAATAAAGTGTTTTTCAGTGGGATAGCAAAGAGGAAAATGAGATGGAAGGAGGAA